CTCCCCCCCCCCACGCAGGCCTTGGCGGCAAGCCACGCCAAGGCGCCGTCAAACGTCGTGGGTGCGAGCGGGTCCCGCGGCCTGACTACGACCCCAGGAAACGCCTCCGCGATGTCCCCGTCGGTCATGAGCTCGGCCTCCACGCTTGGAAACCCGCCGCGCCGCACCAGGGCGGCCGTGGACGAGCACAACCCGGGCACCACTTCCAGCGGGAGGCCGCCGAGCGCCCACGATAGGCACACCGCGGTCTGGACCGCTCGGGCCAACGGCGATGTGTAGACCACGTCGAAGCCCTCCCCCGGCTGCTGCTGCTGCGGCTGCCGCCGCCGCCGCCCCCCGCGGTTGAATGGCAGCGTGCTGAGGTAGAGCCCGGCTGCGCTCGCCTGCACGTGGCCCTCGCCGGTGAGGGCGGGGTCGAAGATCTCGAGCGTCTTCCGGCCGGGCTTGCCGTGGCGGACGTGCCACACCTCGTTGACCACGCCGGCCGCGTCTCGCGCCGTCTCCGTGCCCTCCTCCGCCGCCGCCGTTGCCGCTGCTGCTGGCGCACCATCGGCGTGAGGAGCGGCTACCGTCTCCTGCTTGCCGGCTGATGCCTCGCCGCCTCCGTGGTCAGCGTTGCCCCCGTTGGCGGCGAGAGGGGAAGCCGTCCTCGTGTCAGCTTGCGCGCCTTGCACGGCTCCCTCGGGGAGCGGGCTGGTACTTGCATCGCCTCCGGCGGCAGAAGCAGCAGCACCGCCCACACCGTTGCCCCAACCGCTCGTGGAGGCTCTGAGGCGCTCGTACCCCGCCAAGGCGTACTGCTCCTCGTAGCTGCGATGGGTTGTTGCAGCAAGTGAATCCAACACGCCGGGCGGGCGGGGGGGGTAGTACGCGGTTATGACTTACTCTGGGTGTTGTTTGTCGGGGGTGACGCATGTGTTTCTTGCTTTTGGGGATTATGTGATCGGTATGGTTCTTGGTGGGATTGGCCGCGCTAGCCGTCAGGCGATTGGAAACGCACGACACTTCCAGGAGAGTGCGAATGAAACTCTCCACAGTGTCGACTATACGCCCCGCCACTGCTGTAACACTGCTGTTCGACAAATAACGCAACGCGGATCACAGGCTCAGAAGCACGTATGCGGGTGTGCGCCCTTTGTGTTGGATGGTAACTCACGGCACAGTGTAACCGCAAAAACATGCCTGTGGGTACATGTGTAGCCACCAGAGAAGGAACCCAGGCCCACGCTCCGCCGATACAAGCGGTCAATAGCAACTGATTCGATACGGCAAGTGTCACCGGGGGCGGCAGCAATTAAACGATTTGGTCATGTGGTACCAATGGTATTCTACGAGTACGAGTAGTAGAAAAGCATAACACCGTTGCTGACACGGCAGCGGCAAGCAGTACTATAGTTCAGACACCGAGAGCGACACGGAGCGGCAGCATCTACAAAGACAGTTTGTGGTACAAGTACGACGTGAGTTGCGCCGCGTTTCTCCCTTCATCAAGGAGACATTGCCATTTTTCACTTTCGAAGCGGACAACACGTACGCACTTTGCCGTAACCGCCGGACCGTCGGCGCTGTCGATGCGATCGCTGAGCTTGGTGAGGCTGTGCCAGCACCGGGGCTCCCTAATCCAGTCCTCGAAAGACCTGCCGTCGAATCAGATAAGTTGGGAAGCAAATTTCAAGAGGCGTAAAAATACCACCGATACATTTGCAGATTGAGCCTATATTCTGGTCTATCGATAGTTCTGGGCCCCAATCCACATCTGAATCTTCCGGTACAAGCGAAAGAGACGGACACTCTCCTATAATAGATCGATTTTTCAAAGCTCGATTGCTCTACAAGCAAGACTGCGCCAAAAGCGGTGGTTTTGGGCACATCTCGTCGAGGTCTTTCCGTATACATATGCATATCGGGCTCTTCCGCACCTGCTTGGTCGTGGAGCAATCGAGCTTTCAAGGTCGGTCAAAGGAGGGGTGCCATCTCTCCGCCTCTTACGGGATGCCACGGTACGGTATACGGTATGGTACAGACAATCTTGGTCGTGGAGCAATCGAGCTTTGAAAGTCGGTCTAGGGGGGGGTGCCATCCCTCCGCCTCTCTCTTACGGTAGTCTATGTATGGTGCACGAGCGGGAGTCGCACGCCAGGAAGGTACATACAGCAGTACAGAGTTTTTCATTTTTTGCTCCCCCTTTCCTCCATTGAATACGGTGCCCGCCTTCGCGATTTGCAACGCGAGAACAGCAGTTTCCTGCCCTTATGTTGGGGTTCACTGCTGTCCTTCGAAGAATGTACTTCAGTAGGCTAGGCTATCTTTGGAATGCATGGCCGTGATTCATGGCCATGGTTGTTCATGTTTTCGCCCCAAGTGTCTTGTTGTGGGAATGCGGGAGAGCACGACAACCTGCAGATATGGCGCAGGATACAAGCACAAGACATTCTCGATTCGCCCCACAATACAAAGTGGCCACAGGAAGTGCCATCGTTCCCACGTCCCACAATATCGCTTGAGGACAGAGGGCCGGGGGAGCATGCAGTTTTCTAGAAAGAACTGCTGTATAACGATCACAACAGCAGCCGGTGCAAAGGCAACAGCAGAGCGCAGAAAGCGTGGGCAGGTACACAGAATGCATTATGCACAGCGTAACCGCTGCTTGTGTACCACACAACACGAAGAGACTGGAGTCAAAAAGACTGAAGCTGGACCAAGCACCCAGCAACCACCGGTGCCGACACACAGAATGCATCTTTTGGCAGATACGTCAATCTCTCTGACCAGACCTCACGCTAACCTGGAACTGTCGGTCAGGAACGTAGATAGCATGTGCTGGACCGCTGGCACCGCCAACACCTCCTCCGTGATTACGCGCCGAGTCTCGCTGGAGCATGCCGCAAGAGCATCACGCACACCGGCAATGTTGCCCCTGCTCGTTGGTGTCACCATTCTCCCTCCTCCTTGTCTCGATATTGCTGTTCCTGCGTCCTCTGTTGATCTACGCCGTAACAAACAGCCGCGTATCACAGGTGTGAGGACGTCGGTGGATGTTGTAACACGCACGCGGTGCTCGTTGTGGTAGGCAAGGCAAGGCAGAGAGGGCAGCTCTATCGCTATCTGCCTGTCCTGATATCGGCTCAGCGACCATGGGTAGGGCAACCCGGGAACGAGCTATAAAGCGCGAAAAAAATACGAAGAGGCGTATTCGAATGACGGGTCCTTTCATTATCTTAAAGTTTGACAGCAGGAATCCATGTGTGGTCATTCAGTGCCCAAGGTTGCGGGTTCAATCCCCATCAGCGCCAAACTTTGTTTGCACCTTCCTTTTTTCCCTGATTTTTCTTCACGATGGGAGGGCCATCACCACCTATTGGCGGCAAATTAGCGAGTAAACCACCGTTTACGCGAAGTAAACTGTAGTTTGTTGCTGTACACGCCTGCAAAATTGCAGTCTGCGCGAAACATGTCAGCTTTTCTCTGTCTCGCGTGTGCAGCTTCAGAACAATAACATGTGTTATTTTCTACAGGAAAAGAGTATTCTTCGTGCTCGCCATCAGAACGTGACGTCTTCTTGAAACTATTAGTCATAAACTCTTGCCCCCTTGTCGTGTCGTGCTTCGAACCAAACATACAGAGAAAAAAAACGGTATCAACATCATAATACATATGACTCGCCGAAACCATGACGCGTAACCGCGACTGCTGTGTCGCACGCTTCAGGTGCAAGCTACTACCACAGAATAATCGGTTCCTCCCTGCATCATATTGCTGGGCGGTTTTATACAACAAGAACACCAGGA